CCCTCCGCCGACATGATAAATTACCCCATCGATTCCCCCACCTGATCCCATTGCTACAAACCGATGTGCACCCCATACACGCTATGGAAACTCCTGATCTAAGAGAGCATGAAGATAGATATATTATGAGCCGAGGCTGAGTGAGATTCGACTCGGCGTAACTCGCCTGGTGGCCCGGGCGGTTGATGCAGTATATAGGATGCAGTTGTAGGGAAACCCAATGTAGGACGTGGTAGGACGGCGCCACGCCAGCAAATCCTGGATAGAGGCGGCTTGGCAGCATGAGATGTATGGACTTTGGCTAAGGAGTGGGAGGGAAAGAGAGATGGGGTTACTGATATGCAAGTAAAGGGACAGTAAAGGACGATGGAATCAAGGACTTAATGAGAATGGAGTGGAGGACATCAGGGAGTGTCTGGGGAAAAGAAAATAAGGGGCTGCTTTTCCTTTTCAATTTTTACAATTCAATTTACGAATTTTTATTGGGGACAGCAAAATGAAACAGTAGGAAAACAATTGTTTGACGCATTTATTCTCATTCAGTAGAATGGAACATTATTGAGAATAATTTATTATTGAGTTATATTTTATTATAATTCAATAATACATTTATTATTATTGATTTATTATTTGCGTATTTTTTTAGTTTTATTAGTTTTGATTTATTATTTGAGTATTAATTTATTATTGAGTTCATTCAGTAGAATGAAAAATTATTGAAAAGTTTTGACGGGAGAACATTTTGTCAATCGAGTGAAAAAAGAAAAGTGTAATCGGCCTAATCTAATCAATTGAATTGTAATCAATTGAATTATAAGAAGAATAGACAATGATCATTCTCATCAGTACTCCCAATAATAAAAAAAGTTAATAAATAAAAATTGATAAAAAAAATTAGTTTTTGCTTGAATTACGGCAAATAATCGTTTTTAGGCTGTTTCATTCTGCCCCACTCTCCCCTATCAATTAAAGGATAAAAATGGACATTTTTGAGTCATAAAATTATGGTAATTTGCCGAATCAACTTTAGTATAAAATTTTAGGATCAAAATGTTTTTCGTCATTTTAAAATCTATGAACTTTACAGTCAGAGTCATCAACTGAACTTTGGATTCGAGGGAGGGACAGGGGGATGGGGTCACTGATATGCATGTAAAGAGACAGTAAACGACGACGGAATGCAGGACTTATTGAGAATGGATTGGAGGACATCAGTGAGACAATTCAATAATATTCAATTTACTACAATTTAATTTAGCCTTTTCATGTCAAACTTATAAAAATTAAAGGACAAAAATGGATATTTTAATCCATACAATTATTATAATTACCCAAATTAACTTTAAGTACTAATATGTTCTTCATCATTGGAAAATTAATTGACTTTCCAATCAGAATTATCAATCGAATTTGGCAGGACGAGATGCATGGACTTTGGATAAGAGGAAAGAGGGGAAGAGGAAGCAAGGGCCTCATTTTCTATTTGACTTTCACAATTGAATTTGCCCATTTGCATATTATCAAGCTTATAAAACTCGAAGGATCACAATCGATATTTTTAATCCATAAAATTATTATAATTACCCAAATCAAATTTAAGTATTCAAATATTCTTGATTATTGGAAAATCAATCAACTTTCCAGTCAGAATCGCCAATCGAATTTGGCAGCACAAGATGTATGGACTTTGCCTAAAGAGATAAAGAAGGATAGGGTTATTGATATGCAAGTAAAGGGACAGTGGCTCAATGATAATGGAGTGGAGGACATCAGTGAGTGTCTAGGGAAAAGAATACAATGCTCCTCTTTCCTTTTCAATTTTCACGATTCAATTCACCCACCAAATTGATAAAAAATAAACCATAAAAATCGTTATTACTTCATAAAATTATTGAAACTCCGAAATTCAACTACCAGTATCAAAATATTCTTCATCATTGTGAAATGCACTCATCTTATTTTTGCTTTATACTTTCATGTCCATCCGGAGTAAATATTCTACTGCCAGTGATTAACAAATAACTCTTTCAGTCCCCAAGAAATTACCCGTTCTGCGTCATATTTATGTATTTACTACGATGCTATATACATTTGTTTATATTCTATATCTTCTCCTCAACTGTATATTTCTGTCGACGTATTTATACTACACTATTTTATTTGGAAGCCATCTGCACCCCCTCGTTATGGGGACTTTCCTCAAAAACAATTGGTAAATTTAAAAAAGCAGTAAAAATGAAGCATAAAAATAATTATTATGCCATCAAATTATTGAAACTCCCAAATCCACCTTCAAGTATCAAAATATTCTTCATCATTGTGAAATGCACTCATCTTATTTTTGCTTTATACTTTCATGTCCATCCGGAGTAAATATTCTACTGCCAGTGATTAACAAATAACTCTTTCAGTCCTCAAGAAAATACCTGATGTGCGTGATATTTATGTGTTTACTACATATAAATAATGCGATATATATTTGTTTATGTTCTATATCATCTCCACTGTATATTTCTATCGACGTATTTAGGCTATACTATTTCATTTGGAAGCCATCTGCACCCCCTTGTTATCGGGACTCTCCTCAAAAACAATTGGTAAATAAAAAAAATCATTAAAAATGAAGCATAAATACATTTGTTTATATTCTATATCTTCTCCTCAACTGTATATTTCTATCGACGTATTTATACTATACTATTTCATTTGTAAGACATCTGTACCCCCTTGTTATGGGAACTCTAAGTAAAAACATGATAAAAAATGAAGCATAAAAATCATTATTACCCCATAAAATTACTGAAACTCCCAAATCCAACACGTATCAAAATATCCTCATCATTTTAAAATCCATTAACTTTCCCATCAGAATCATCAATCGACTGAATGACTAGCGTCAAGCACGTGCGTTCGCCTCTCAATACCCCCCCATCTCAATTCCCGATGATTCAACCTCACCAATGGCTGAGAATCGAGTTGACGTTGGTGTAACAATTTTCAGCGCGATTACATTTAGCCCGGTTGATCGATTTCCACTGGAGGAGAAACGTTACCCCTGAGAATACTCCAAATACGCTAATAGAAATTTCGTGTCATTTCATTCCCTCCGCCACCCCTGTTCACACAACCCCCTCGCCAACCCCTCAAATCTCCCAACACCAATTCATCTGGAGAGTTTTCCAAGTTGAATTGTTGAGGGACTGAATGCATCAATCATTGTATATTTAGGAGAATCCGATCTTCAATCTGGTCTGGAGAAAAACAGGAAAAAGAAAGCGATTCGGTCGATAAAGCAGACGGTTACGGTTTTTTATTCTTTAAAATAGGGTGATGTAGGGGGGTGGGGGGAGACTTTGGGGGGTGGTTGTACAAGTTGTAAAGGCTCCTTGGCCGGTGGAATAACGCTTGCAACCCTATCTCCTGGGGGAGTTAATCTATAGGTTTCTATCGACGATATATATCCTTTATCTCTCGTTACTTATCTTATTTACTGGGACACAATGGGGCTTCTGTCCAGGCTCCAGTGTATTTACAACAAAGCAAACGCTCCCTTACATTACAAACAACACCCAAACCACCAATCCAATCTAAACTAATAAATTAAACACTAAAATCAACTTACATGTCCACAATTCCGCCAAGATTGATTCTCCTGTTAATCACGAGTCGAATTTCCTCACCCCTGAAAACCCTGCAATTCCTCCTCAGATAATTGAACAATAGCCCCAGAATCGCCACACCATCACACAACACCGTAGCCCCCCGCAATCAATTCCCCATAGATAAAAAAAAATACGAAAGCAAATTGAAACCAACGAATCAAAGCGACAAATGCTCCCGAAATTCAATCATCCCCCCAAAAAATAAATTCTGGCAGGTCAGTGACGCGCGTGACCCTCATCCCCCCCTTCTGATCAGTAATATGACAAGCAGACACTCAGACCCCATTCAAGATCACCGCAACTCTCCCTCTCTCTCTCTATCGTATACAGTGGGAAAACCAAAAAGTATTTAGTTACAAACGAAAAAATATAAACGTTATTGTTGCCGCTGGTGTACCGGAGTACTCTCTGCAAGCTCGGCCGGGCAGCTGAGAGTGGTGTGGCCACGAGGGGGGTAAAACGGGCTGAAACAGGGAGGGGGGGCGGCTTTACGTACAGAGTAGGAGAGGAATGTGATTGCCGCTTTGGTGGGGGGGTGGATGGTTATGCCGGCAAGCGAGCAAGCGTTTTCCCTGGGTTATACTTCTCCCACTCCTTTTGACTACTGCGCAGCAGTCGTTGCAAAACCGAAACCCCGGCCAGAACTCCTCTCTCACAGCCAAACTCAAGTGATGAGGAGGGAGCGCAGGGGAGGAAATTGTACGTGGAGCGTTACAAGCTACCCCCATGGCCCAACTACAGGGAATTCACAGCCAACCTTATCCCCCCGCGCGCGCCCCACCGCTGCCACCGCCGCCGCCGCCACCCCTTCGGCACTCGAGCTCGAGCCACCCCAGCAATCCATCCCCCACTATGTGGACACTTTTGCCAGCTTGAAACTTTGTACGCCCTACTCTTTCCTCATTTTCTCTACAGTTCCTCGCAAAACCCTCTTCACGTCTTTTCCCTCTACGGTTTTCAAATCCCAACTACCCCCAGCCCCTCTCACTCTAACTCTCGCCCCGCGCACACACCCTGGAACCCCCCCACCCCTTTTCGCTTTACCTTGTGCACGGGTCAAGCTCTGATCAGCATCGAGCAGTCACACGTACATGAAGCAGATTGTACTTGGGGGGAGATGTAAGGGGTCTGTATGCCCTGGCATCTGCCAGCATCACAATCCAATCGTAAACGGTGGAGGATGATTAAACCAAATAAAGAGGAATTTCTTGGTAATTGTTTATTTGGAATTTCGAGGGGATTCGCTGAGTTGCTGGAGGGAGGGGGGGGGAGGCTAATTGGCGGGGGAGGGGAAAGGGTTTATGGTGCAGTTTGGTGATTGATTGGGGGATCAGAGGGATTTTCGCGTTTTTTGAGTTGAGATTTTGATTATTGGAGAAGCTATTTGCTGGACATTTTGGAAATTGTGGGAAAGGGTTGTAATGTTACCAAATAAAGGGAAATTTGTTGGTAATTGTTTATTTGNGGGGGGGGGGGGTAGAGGGAATTTATGTGGGGAGGTATTTACTGAACATTTTGGGAGTTTTGAGAAAGGGTTGTAAAGAATTGTACGGGGAGAATGAAGCATTTTGGAGATGGACGGATGATGGATCATCATTTGGGGTGCTCGCGCTTTTTGGGTTGAGATTTTGATTATTGGAGAATTTTTTTCAAATTGGGGGGGATCTCTAATAAAAATTATTATTATTATTATTATTATTATTATTATTATTTTCAAATTGGGGGAATTATTATAGGAAGCTATTTGCTGGACATTTTGGAAATTGTGGGAAAGGGTTGTAATGTTACCAAATAAAGAGGTATTTCTTGGTAATTGTTTATTTGGAAGTTCGAGGGGATTCGCTGAGTTGCTGGTGGGAGGGGGGGGAGGCTAATTGGCGGGGGAGGGGAAAGGGTTTATGGTGCAGTTT